TCTGGACTTTGCTGAAGCCCCTTCATTTATGAAAAGGGAACAATTCAAGTAAACCACAAATCCACGGCATCAGGACTTACCACTTCCAGTCCAGAGCTCCCTCAAAGTCAGTTCTGAAATTCCCAGGGGTCTGTGTAACTGCTTTGATGGCCCAGGAAGTCCTAGACCAAATTAGATTCCTGTGTATGTTATCAGTGGCCCAAACCTCAAGAAAACCAGAGCCGACTCTGACCCTGGACATTTTCTAGATTGAAGATGTTGGTGGCCACACCAGAGGTCTGTCCTTCCCTACCTCTTCCCAAGGGGAACTCTGACTCAATATTCACTTCTGTAATGCTTCCACTCAACACCTATAGTAGGAAGATTTTCAGGTAGCTTAGAGATTCCAATCTACCCCATCATTCTTCATTCATAAGTAGAACTTAATGTGTCATTTCATAATCTAATATGTTACCAGAATAGCTGCATACTTATATAATGTGAATCAATTTCTTTGAACTTCTACTCTGTTGATTTGGACCTTAAGATACCATATGATAGTAATATTCTAGTAGATCCTTTCCTTCCTCCTCAAAAGAAATTCAAATAATCTTGGTTGTCTACTCATACACAGTATGAGTATAAGTTTTGGAGGGTCAAAATTAGGTTTGACATAAGGAGAAATTTCTTAACAACTATCTATCCAGAAGTAGAATGGACTGCTTTTAGAGGTAGTAGGTTCCCTCTACTGAAGGTCCTCATGAACGAGTTGTTGTGGCCATTTATTAAGTATATTGTATAAGGGATCCTCACTCAAGTATCATTTGGATTAAATGGCCTTTTCAGTCCCTTCCACTTTCAGATTCTGTGATGAGAATTGGAACATTTCTACTCTGGTTCCCAGGAATCTATGTGACACAAAGCTGGGGTTTGTGATCCTTCAGTCTGAAAAGGGAAAAATGAGTTGCATTCCACCTTTCTGTGATAGGAAATCAAGGAATTATTCTTTCATCCTGTCTTTCATCCATTATGGCCCAGCATTTGCCTGATTCTAGTCATCCTGTTGCTGTGCATTCCCCCAGCCTCTCCTCTTCTGAACCCTGCAAGGCAGCCTTTCGGGCTTAGATTAGTTATAACCCAACCTCCGCCTGAGCAGCCACAGTGGCAGCTGCAGTGCCATTAGGAATCTGTGAACTGGCCTAGGTTTAGGCGTGATCTAGAATAGTTGAGACGAGTAGTCATGATGGATTACAATCTATGTTGCAGATTCTTATTTTGTACCTCACACCTATCCTCCACAACCCCCATTGCACTCTTCTCTTTGTCCATGCAGCCACCACCCTAGTTCAGACTCTTCACTCTCACCTGGATTATTACAATGATAAGACTCTTCCCTTTCCTCTCCATCCTTTCACACTGCTTCCAAAGAAATTATCCTAAAATTCAGGACCAAACATATTATATATAAGCTATAGAGCCTCCCTGTTGACTCTAGGATCAAATCTAAACTCCTATTTGGCATTGAAAGCTCTTCCCAATCTGGCTTCAAACTACCTCACCAACTTTATTATAAATTACTCCCCTTCATTAGAAAAGATGTAGACATGAGGATGTCATTTCAGACACTGGAGACAGCCAGTGGAAAGACTGCATAGACCGAGATATTGTCATATGTAAGAGGCAGAAAAAGCCAGTTTGGCTGGATCATAGTGTGAGGAGAGGGAGCAAAAGGAGGGTGAGGCAGTGTACAGTGAGGCTGGGAAGATAAGTTAAAGCAAGATTGTGATGCTATTCAGAGGAGTTTATATTCTATGCTAAAGGCAATAGGGAACTACTAGAATTGGTTGAACAGCTCAGTGACTTGATCAAATCTGCACTTAAGTAAAATCACTTTGGAAGCACTATGGAGGATAGATTTCAGTGGAGAAACTTGAGGTAGGGCAACCAGTGGGGCAACTTATTCCAGTAATCTAGGCAAGAGGTGATGAAGGCCTTAGTTAAGATAGTTGGCTGTGTAAGTAAAAAGAAGAGGTCGAATGTGACATGTTATAGCAATAGAAATGGCATGACTTGGTAGCTGATTAGACCTGTGAGGTGAGAGTGGAGGAGTCCAGGATAGCACCAAGATTATAAACCTGGGAGACTAGAAGAATGGTGGTGCCTTCATCAAATATAGAGAAGTTTGGAAGAGGACTCATCCAACGACTCATCGTTGTAGGGGGGCAGGCAAAAGAGAATACGTTTTGTTTTTTACTTATACTCATTTGTATATATTGACATAAGAGGCCATTCCCACCTCAGACACATCCTGGCTATGGCTGTGTGACCCTGGGCAAGCCACTTAACTTCTTAGTGCTCTAGGCAACTCTATAAGCTTATAAGTTGCAGAGAAGGCACCAACTTTCATTGGTGTATATATACTTGTCATAGTCGCATTAGAATGTAAACTCCTGCCAAGTAGGGATTATTTCATTTGTTATATTTGTATCTTAAGCACCTAAAAAAGTATCCACACTTAATAGGGACTTAATTAGTACTTGTCAGTGGATTGAGTTCTCTTTTAGACACGTTGAGTTTCAGATGACTTGGAGAATTCAGTATGAAAGTCCAGTAGTCAGGCAATTGGTGATGTGAGACTGAAGCTCATGGAAGAAGCTAGGGTTGAATATATAGATCTGTGAATAATTTGCAGAGATAATAATTAAATTCATCGAAGCTGATGGGTTCACCAAGAGAGTGAGTGTAGAGAAAGGAGGACTAGGACAAAGCCTTGTTTAATAATCACAGTTAGGGATCATAACATGGATGATGCTCCAGAACTGGAAAGGAAAAGTCAGACAGGTAGAAAGAGAAAAGTCATGAAATTGGAAGCCAAAATGCAAAAAAAAAAAAAAAAAAAAAAAAAATTAAGGGAAATAAGGTAATGAGTGTAGATAGCATTTTCTAAGACTTTGGCTGAAAAATTGAGAGGTACAGAATCATAGCTTAAGGACATGGTAGGGTGTAGCAAAGTTATTTAAGAATGATGTGGTCTGGGGCATGTTTGAAGGAAGTAGGGAAGGAACCGTTGTAGAGGGAGAGGTAGAAGATTAGATTGATGGGGAATGATTGAAGTCATATTCTTCTGGATATGGTGGAAGATATGTTCAAGCACATATATAAAGGGGCTAAAATTGTCAAAGGAAAGGGCCATCTATTTGTAACTTGTTGGGAATGTTATATAGTGGATATTTCTTTCAGTTATGGGTTCAGTTAGATGGCTACTGAGGTCTTTTCTAGCTCAAAAATGCTGTGCTTCTATGAGTCTGTTTTACCTGGTTCTTTTTAAACATTTTTATCAGTGACTTGGATAAAAGCATGGTGACAATTCATCAACTGATGATTAGTGTGTGCTAGGCACTGTGCCTGGCGTTAGGGACACAAAGAATAAAGCAAAAGCAGTCCCAGCCCTCAAGAACCTTACTTTCTAATGTGGGAGACAAGAAGTGCACATAGAATACTAGAGTTGATAGAAGGTGCCCTTAGAGGGGAAGACTAGCAGTTGGGGAGACCAGAACAGTACTTGGGTACAAATATAACATGCATTTGTCATGTTTTTATTTGTATCATAGTCATTGTGTCTGTTACTCTGACTTTCTTTTCTTCCTTCTGCATCACTTCATATAATTGTTTCCAGGTTTCTATGAAATCTTTAAATCTGTCATCCCTTACTGCAAAATAATACCTTATTACAATCATATGACATGGTGAGTAGCTTGTTCCTCAACCCCCCAATTGTTGGTTACTTATTTTGTTTCCAGCTTTTTTTGTTATTACAAATAATGTTGTTATGAATGTTTTTGTACATATTGATCTCACTGTCTTTAAAATCCTTGGGACATAAATCCTTGAGTGCAGTCACTGGGTCAAAAGTTTATTAACTGTTCATGTACAGTTCCAAATCGTCTTCCAAGATGGTTAGGTCAGTCCACAGTCATACCACTTATGTATTCTAGAGGTGCCCATAGTGGGCGATACCACCCCCCGGGGGTCGCTGGAATGATCCAGGAGGAGGGCAGTAGTAGCCTTGGGTGCATTTGGGAAGTGTTGAGTAAAAATAAGGGAGTGGTAGAAGCATAAGGAAAGAAGAGAAGAAAATTTTGAAAAACCATTTCTACATGTTTAATCGTAGTGATTACATTATTTTCCAAATAAACACTCAAAATGCAAGTTATAATCCATCAGTGGTCAAGTCCGCCAACAGGTCTTCAAGCAAATGTTGGTAGGCGAGCTTGTTGCAAATTGTCAGGAAGTCCAGCATGCATCAGCAGGAATATGTGTGTGTAATGACTTCTACAATATGATACTATATAGCTACCTGATGCGGTATTGTATCATCAAAATTTCAATGCAGGAAAAAAACCCACAGATTTACAATAAATTATTAAATTTAAAATGAATTATTTTAAAAAAAATATTTAGTTTGTTTTGAAATGATTTAAAATTTTTTTTTAAAAGCCACTAAAGGGTTAAAGAAAATAGCTTTCTGAGGGGGAGGGGGGGCAGGGAGAGGGATGCTGAATATTTTTTTTAAGGGGGTAATAAGCCAAATAAGTTTGGGAACCTCCATATTAAGCTAATACAGTTTTCCATCTTTTAAAGTATTTGCCAATTTGATGGGTGTCTGAGTTGATATTCATCAAGGTTTTTTAATTTGCATTCCCCTGATACTGATTTTGAGCAATTTTTAGATGATTATTTGTAGTTAGCCATTTCTTCTTTTGAAAAGTCATATCCTTTGACCATTTATTTTAATATGTATTTTCTCATTCTAGAGTTTATTTAGTTTTTATATAATCATAATTATGTTTTATCTTTTATAATCTCCTTTATTCCATGTTTGATCATAAATTATATCTCTATCAGTGCTTGTAAAAATATAACCTTCCATTCTCATTTCTTTTATAATATAAATTTTAATATTTAGGTTGCTTATCTATTCAAAATTTGACACTTCTTCACAAAGACATATTTATTTTAAGCTACAAAGAAAGAAGAAAGAGCTGCACTTAGACCATGAAAGAAACCTTCAGGAACTTCAGGATTCTATCCGGAGAATCAAAGAGGAGTGTGCTCATCAGGTGGAGTTGGAGATATCAAAGATGAAGCAACTGGATGGAGAAAAGCAACGACTTCAGCAGCAGGTTAGAGAACATTGGCAAACTGTGCCCTCGAACCCTATTAAATGTAATTGGGAATGTTTAACAAGGTAAACCAAAACACAAAGAGCATAGATAATGCTAATATGTGGTTTTCTAAGTCAATGTGTGGCCTTCAGGGACCATTTCTATTGAAATTTGACACCACTAAGGTAGTAGATATATTGTTAAACTTGGGTTTACATCCCACCTCTGATGGTAACCCTGTAACCATGGTCAAGTCACTTAATCTTTCTGAGCCTCAGTTTGCTCATCTTTAAAATGAGAATAATAATAATAATGATAATACCTGTTATACTTATCTCAAAACGTTGTGAAGCTCAAATGAAATAACACATGTAATGTTGTTTGCAGTGTGATAAGAATGCCAGATATTATTATTACTATTTTTTATTTGTTGAGAGAGTTTATTTCCTTTTTGGGAGAATAATAAATGGATGGGGGAAATTCAGTTAAAAGTGATTTTGTTTTATAGTATTCATTCATCATTATGATTCATAGTTGCTTCTTTAATTTACACTTGCTTTTTGAAGTTGCAAGATGAAGATGGTTTGCATCTGGTAGGTTTTATTTTTCATTTCTTCGTAGCTCTTTATATGAAACTTAGTCTGACCAATTCCATATGGTAGGAAATATATCCAGTGCTTTTAATTTGAAAAATATTCCAGCATAGTACGTATTTAATAGATAACTCTTTGAATTTTTAAAACATGAAATAGAATTCTAAACAATACTCGTAAAAACAAGTGAGACATGCCTTTCTTTTGAATTTGGATTGTTGTTAGTGTATATTTTTGTTTTATAAAAGTTTCTTTTAAAATACTAAATCTTAAATCTTCATTATTATTGTTTTGTATCCTTAAATTGTGGAGGGATTTTCTTTGACCATTAAAAATTTTTCTAAAATAACAAGTCAACTGATTTTGATCTTCTTTAGGTAAATTAAAGCTGAAATACTGTGCAACTATTGCTGGTATGAACATTTTACCATTTTATGTTTTTATTTTTACAAGACTGTATATACTAAGTTTATTTCCTTCACCTTTCTCTACTCTAAACCCATACTGAAATGTTTTGAGTCTTTAGTGGAAAATTCATTTCAGGAATATTGCATTTATTTGAATATCACACTTGTGGCAATTTTTGTCATTTAGAATGTAACAAGGAACATAGAAGTAAGCAAAAAAGGCCTTTGAAAAGCCAAAATATCAACGCCTATCTACTTTACTTGTAATTAAAGACTTCACTTGCCTGTAAATTTTTTATTTTCTATACAACTGAGACAGGCTTTGTTGTTGGTAAAGAAACTTTTTAAAGCTAAGGCAATAAATAGCAGTGACAGCCTGACAGTAAGTGCACACATAAAAAGCACACCCAAATACTCAGGCCTCCTGTGGTTCTTTTGTGAAAACCTCCCAGAAAAACGCCTCAGTAGCCCCTGGAGATGCCACTGTGAAATGCTGTAGTATAGGAAGTGACCTAACAGTACAGTATAATAATGGATAATTGTAATGATAGACCTGAGCTTTAGTCATTAATAAAAGGTTAAATCATGTTTGTTTAATTCAATTTAAGAAAATACTTAGGTATTTAAGATATTTTAGATTTTCACGAAAATATTTAAATTTATTTTACACTGTGAGGGGAGTAAAGCTATAGCTTATTATCAATAGCAAGAGAAGTGCTATGAAAGATGTCATCATCAAATATATGTGCAACTGGAATAGAAGGTTGGCCAGTCATAGTGAGATTGAGGGGATAACAATCTGAGTACTGTACAGGTACCCAAAAACCATAGAGTGAATCAAAGGAAGCCTTCCAGAAGGATTTATGGAAAAGAACTATAGAGATTGAGGAGAAGTGGAGGGGTTGTGACCTGCATTTAAGGAAGAAGTATCTAGAGTGAAGAAATCACAAATATATCAAAGTATCAGACATTGTAGCTTAAAAGGGTAATCTGGAAAATTCAGTTTGTTCCTCAGTTGAAACTACATAAAGGATTTTTAAGTACACTATTTAGTTAGAATGTTTCTAACTTTGGCATAAAATAAAAATCTAATCTTCTCAAACTTTCTTTAGAGTTGCTGTGTAGGTTTCACATTGGCTTTCTTTTTCAAACGCAGTGGAGCGTAAAGGCTTAGAGCCTTGATCATTGGTTTAATTAATGACATATTTGATATATCCATAAATCTATTAAGGAATATATCTTTCTTATTTCATAGTAGTACTTACCCAAAAATTCTTAAATTGCAAGTTTACTTTTTTGTAACTTTATATTGTGTGTATTTTGAGGAAGGTTATTTTATGTAATGCTTTAGATCTTTATTATTTTTACGACTAACAATAATCACTGACATTTTATAGCACTTTTAGGTTTACAGAATACCTTATAAATATTATTTCATTTGCTCCTTATAACTGCTTCGTAAGATACACAACTACATCTATTATCCCCATTTTACAAATGAGAAAACTGGTTCAGAAAGATTGAGACTTGCCTGTGGTCACACAACTAGTTAAGACAAGATTCAAGTCAAATCTTTGTGTCTCCAAATCCATCACTCCTCACCTTGTTAATTTTCATAATTTACAGATTTATATTATCTTTTGATTTGACTTGTTTATTATCTTATCCTGTTATCTTTGTCATCAAATTCATAAAAAGTATAACACCACTGAATTTCTGTTTCTAATGAGTATATTCTATTAAATCTAGAAATCTAAAGAAGGTCTTGTTAAGAGTGAATTTTTAAAATTCTAAAACTTAACTGAAAATTATCTTAACACTTTCTCTAAGAAGCACTACACTTGAAAAAGATTTTTTTGTGTCTGCTTTTAAAAAGAAGTTCATTTACCAAATTAAAAGAAGCTGTGGCTGATCTGAGTTTTGTAATATTTTACTTATATATTATTATTAAATTAAGTGGATTTTATTGTTTGAGGTTTTTTGTTCTTATCTTTTTGCCATAGCTTTATGATGCTGAAATTAAATATAAAACTTTGGAAAAAGAATTCCAGCATTTCAAGGACCAACAAAACAGCAAACCAGAAATCCGTCTTCAGTCAGAAATAAATCTTCTCACCTTGGAAAAGGTACCTCAGTTAACTTACTACTGTGTCACTGGGAATAGTTAAGCTAGTTGAATAACGCTAGTCAATAAATAATTTATACATGCTAATGACAGGAACATACATCTAGAGTTGGAAGGGACGTTAGGAGCCATCTAATATAAACCCTCTCATTTTACAGATGAGGGAACTGAAGCCCAGAGAGGTGGGACTTAAACTGCTGTCCTTTGCCTCCAAATGCAGCACACTTCCTATTGTACCACACTGGCGCTATTTCAGTGGAATATCTTACTATGTAAGAAGATTGCTTTTGAAGTTATACTTTCAAGACTTTAAGACATTTGGAATATGAGTGCTTTACATATTTGACTCTGAATTATCTGATTTACCCCTATTATGCTGCAAATTAAACTTGCTTGTTCAAGTTATGGTTTAACAATAGATATTTTAAGTGTCTTATTTACCTATCAAATATGTGTAGCATTTATAACACAAAAGAAAATCATGCATTCTTTCTACTTATGGTCTGAGACTTAAAAAGTTTTGGAGAGAATCATGAAAGTGTGCTGCTGAGTCCTTTACAAATTCAATTCAATTCAACTTATATGTAATGCATATTTTATATACAAAGCACTGTGATGATAGTAGGGATACAAAGATGAAAAAACAACACAATCCTTGCCTTTAAGGAGTTTACAACAGTTACAACAATGTAAAAACAAATATGATGCAGTGTGGAATGTAATTTGACCTGAATTGAACCCTTACTACTATTACACTGTAGTTTTTTTTTTTAAAGAAAGTTTCAATTAGCAGTAAGAATTGTTGAATGCTGGAGGATTGAAGGAGGATGAACATTTAAAAAAAAAAAAGACCATTAAAGTTGCTGGTTAGGAGCGGTGAAAAGTTGAAGCCAACTTATAACCCCAAGTGTGTGGGGTGAGGCATTGAATATATAAACTGTTCCCTTAAGAAATTTGTCATTGTTAGGTAGGGAAAGGGACTGTAGCTCCAAGGGTTAGCAGGCTCTAGGTGAGAATTTTCTTTTCCTTTCTTTCTTTCTTTCTATCTCTCTTTATTTCTCTTCCTTCCTTCCTTCTAAGAGGATAGGATAGATCTCAACATATTTGAAGGTAGAGAGTAAGGAGCCAGTGGATAGGAAGTTATAACAGGGAGAAGGGGTAAGTAAGAATGGACCAAAGTCCCAGAGTGGGTGGGAGGAGATAAGATTGATAATACACACACACACACACACACACACACACACACACACACACACACACA